CTGCCAGTTGTGAGACGCTCTCCTCGAAACCTCAATTTTCACATCACAACATCCAAAAAAAACATACGCTATCACACCAATCCCGAGGTACAATGCCGAGCAAGGACGGCAATCCTCAGGGGAGGAAGAGGCTGCGGTCGCAAAATGAAGACCCTCCTTCAGCACCCTCAACAAATAAACGACGTCGAGTGCAAAAGACAGAAGCAACAGTCGATGAGCCGCTCCCAGACCCGCCCACTCTCATTTCCACGGCCAAAAAAGGGCCATTGAGGTCATCCGCACGCGCTGTAACTGCGTCAAAGCCGACACCAACAAAAAAGCCCACTGGAGATCCTTGGGAAATCCCTGACTCGGAAGATGAGCGCTCAACACAGAAACCGGGCCCAAAACGACCACACGCAGAGACCACGAGGGGACCACAGGCTGCTAGTTCCAAGCGTTCGGTTGGTGGACCGAAGAGCAAAAATGCCGTTTACGACGTCCCAGATTCAGATGAAGCTGAAACTCCCCGACCATCACGAGGACGCAAGAGCGCCAGTGCGATCAGTGAGCCAAAGCCCAAGGACTCGGCTAAGCCGGCGGGAACCGGGCGAGGCACACTCAGGGTATCAACTAAAGCATCAGCAGAGGAGGTGCATGTGGCAACAACAGACACCCCAACGAAGCCAAGGTCGGCGAAGAGAGCAGCACCTGCGGCTCAGGAGCCTACGAGTGATGGTTCCGATGATGAGCCTGCGGAAGCCTCTCCCGTCCCAAAGAGTGGAAGACGACAAGGTGCCGTTGCTCAACAGGGGAAGACCGTGCATTCTCGTAAGAGTGTCTCTTTTGGCAACGACAAGAACGAGGAGACCTTTGAGGATGCTATCTCCAAGTCGGCATCGAAACCTGTGAAAGGTGGGAAGCAACCGGCGCCAAAGCAGGCCGCAAAGGAAGAGGCACCCTCCGAAGAAGAGGATGAGGACGACGGTGACGAGGAAGACGATGAGGTTTGCGCCATCTGTTCGAAGCCTGACTCGAAACGCGGGAACGAGATAGTGTTCTGCGACAATTGCGACTCGGGATTCCATCAGGAATGTTACAACCTTCCAAAAATTCCGGATGGGGATTGGATCTGCCGCAACTGCTCACAGGAGGAAGCCACCGAACTCGCGGTTTCGGGGAAGACGGTAAAGGCGATTGCCCAGAAAGACCAAAAGCCCGACATCCCCAACTTTGAGCAGCACCTGGGTGCCATGCAGCGAGTCCTGTTGGACCGATGCACGGGAAGAAGACGCATAAAGCTCTGTGGTCAGGACGAGGCATATGACAAGGCATCGACGTTGGTGGAGCAGACGGTTGTGGCCGGCGAAGGCAATTCCATGTTGGTGATTGGGGCTCGCGGATGCGGGAAAACCACGGTCAGTAGCAAATGCATACACCTTGTGTCACAGACTAAATCTTTCGCAGCTGGTCGAGTCGATCTTATCAGACATGACGAAACAGCACAAGGGACAATTTCATGTCGTCAGGCTCAACGGGTTCATTCATACAGATGACAAGCTTGCTTTGAGAGAGATATGGCGTCAGCTTGGCAAGGAGATGGAGGTCGAGGATGAGCTCATCAGCAAGGTTCGTTGCCAATGCCTCATTGGAATGCCCATCTAACACATGCTAGACTAATAATTATGCTGATACTATGGCGTCCCTCCTCGCACTGCTCTCTCACCCCTCGGAGATTGCGGAATCCCATGAGGGTATAACCTCAAAGTCTGTCATATTCGTCATCGACGAGTTTGATCTCTTTGCGACGCACGCAAGGCAAACGCTGCTCTACAACCTGTTTGATATCGCTCAGGCGAGAAAGGCGCCGATTGCAGTGCTGGGACTTACAACAAGAATCGATGTTGTGGAGAGCCTGGAGAAGCGAGTCAAGAGTCGGTTCAGCCACAGATACGTCTATCTGTCTTTACCGAAAAGCCTACCCGCTTTCTGGGACGTGTGTCGCCAAGGCCTCACTATTGACGACGAAGATATGGTGGTGGAGGAACTTGATCCCAAGGTCAAAGGCCACCGCGAGTTCTGGAAGTGGTGGAACAAAAACCTTGAAGTTCTCCGCAAGAGCACCAGCTTTCAGGACCACCTCGAGTCGCACTTTTGCAGCACGAAGTCGGTCTCGGCATTTCTCACGACTTGCATCATACCACTCTCGAGCCTCTCCCCGACCTTGCCATCTCTCAAGATACCGAGTTACGACATCTCGCTTGAGCCGCCAGACTCCAAGCTGCACGTGCTTGAATCACTCTCAGACCTGGACCTGTCGATGCTCATTGCGGCGGCCCGGTTGGATATTGTGGCGCATACGGACACGGTCAACTTCGCAATGGCCTACGACGAGTACACATCGCTCATGGGCCGCCAACGTGTGCAGTCGGCCACATCCGGCATGTTGGCGCTGGGCGGCGGCGCGCGGGTCTGGGGCCGCGGCATCGCGAGCATGGCATGGGAGCGTCTCGTCACTCTCGGCATGCTTATTCCTGCCGCAACAGTGGGACGTGGTGCGGCCGGTCAAAGCGGGTTGGACGCCAAGATGTGGAAGGTGGATGTTGCATTGGAAGAGATACCCGCGGCGGTAAAGTTGGGCGCAGTGCTGGGGAAGTGGTGCCGAGAGATCTAGAAGTCACGTTGGACAAGATGCGGCTGCGGGTGCTCGCAGTTTGGGGTGTGGCTGAGGACCCGTCGGGGCTTCCCCGGACGCCATGGACGTCCAACTTACCCCCGGTTCGGAACGTCGCGAACTGCAAGCTTTCGAGGGGGGTGGGATGGGGGCGGTAATGGTAGAGGCACCCCCAGGCGTGTATCTCCGGATGCAATTGGTTCTTCTTCCTCCCTATGCACGGTATACCTATTGGAGCAAGCAAAATCAAGCTGTTCTCGCCATCCAGATTCACGCGGTCGGGCGATTACTTCTATTCCCCGGCTGCAGATCCCTTGCCACGAACGTAGCAACCCCGTCTTACATGGGTAAGCGGACGATGACGGGGCTTTTCGCCGGTACCAGGTGCTTGGGTAACGGGTCATTCGGCTGCGCGGAAGGCCGACGGCAACGGCTGAAGCCTGTGACACCATGCAGCAAGCACTCTATTTTAGGCTGTCGTGCAGTTACAGCGCGGCACAGCCCACGCTATCGACATGCCCAGCCTGCTTGACTTCGCAGGCCATGTGCAGCATGACGTTCCTCACCTACCTCCGAAGGTATTGGTGAGAATTATCTGGGGATATATACTCCTCATTGCCCCGCTCATGTCGAATAGCCGTCTTTGTTCCCTCTCATAGGCCACAGATTGAACAGATGTCACCGCCAACCCATGGTTTTCACCCTTTGTCGTTTCCGTCGTCTTTGTCCTGAACTTGTCGCCCCAACACCGTTAAAACACATCCCGGGGTTTTGTGGCATCGTGCATACGTGACGTCCAACCTCATCGCCATCAGTCAAAATGTCGCTCCGCACAAGATTCACCACCATCTCGCCCCTCCCGCCCAACATCTCCCGTGATATCGTCCTCGAATTCCTTCATGACCACCAAGAAATGATCGATCTCAACCCCCTCGTCAAAGAACGACATCCCATCGCCCCGCCTCCTCACTGCCCGCCCGACGAGCTCTCCTGCGTCTGGTACTCGCTCACCGACAAGATCTCGTATCTCCCCGGCGATCTCATCACAGGCGACGTCACATACACATGTGCATTCACCGATCTCAAAAACGGGCTTCAGACGCATTGCTATGCGCCCGCCGGTCTACGTACAATACAACCCATTCGGCACCCGTCACATGCGCCATGCTAACATCACACTAGGAATCCGAGACAGATGGACCCTCAACGGCTCCCTCCCAGACGAAGAACCAGAGCCAGCAGAGCCAGGCATCGGCGCCCCAAGGACAGGCCTCTACATCCGCGAGGACGTCGACATGAAATGCAACGTGATCCTGACGACCTTTGTCAAGCGCACCCTCAAAAAGTCTCACGCATTGCTAATCGATCGGCTGAAAGCCAAAGCCGAGATCCTAAGCCAGTCCGTCGAGGAGAAAGTCGGCGGGCGCGCAGGTGAGAACGTACTGGCATTAAGTCTCGTCGGCACAGGACAGAGGATGTCGAAAAGCAGCGGCGGCGCAGGCGTGGTGCGTAATACGGGTGGTCTGAGTCCGCAGGTGATGCAGTATTACGAGCAACAGGTGCAGACAAAACCGACGCTTCAACAGCAAGGGAAGTGGCTGGCTTCGCCACAGCATCGGACGTTGGCTGCGCCAGCGCCCACGGGTGGCCGGTATTCTCCGCAGCCTGAGAGGCGGTATCAACAGGATCAAGGACGGCCAGGATCGCAAACTGGGCAACGGCAGCGGGATCAAGTGCAACCACCACGACAGGAAACGCAAACGCGGTACTCCCCACCAGCAGAACCTCAACCGAAATATCAAGCACCGCCGGAACAGCAACTGCAGGAAGCACGCTACTCTTCATCAGGACATCAGGAATACCAACGGCCGCCATCCCAACCGGCTCTGCAGCCCCAGCCTCAAGCACCAAGGGACAGGACACCATCGCGAGGGAGAGATGATTGGGCGTTTCCGATTCCCGAGCCTCTCAAGATGCCTTCGCGAGTTGCGAAGTGGGAAACCGGCGGAGAGAAGCCGGAACAGCAACAGGATGTGCAGGAGATGGAAGCTCCCAAGTTTCAGGGAGCGATTCAGACGGACTCACCGATAGGGGCAACATTGAGGGGACCTTTTGTTATGGGGCCGCCTTGAACTACCTGTATGTGGATGGGCGGGCTGGTGATGATGAGAATGTTTGATACCCAGCACGGCATGGCATTGAGCAGACTGAGGATAACCTAGGATAACCTTTAGTGAGTGAGGGACAGGATACAAGGGATGCGAATGTCCAAACCAACTTTAAACCGCAAAGTAAAAAAAATGTACAATGATGTTACCTCCTATTTTCTAGGGGGACAGTCAAACTGTGGGCGCCCCAGGAATCGAACCTGGGTTTCTTCGGATGTTGTTCCTGTCAAGGAGCCACAACGAAGTGTACTGACCACTATACTAGGCGCCCTGTGCCGAATGTTGTGAAAACAACCGGCGGGACGATCCACCCAGGGGTCGAACCTGGAACCTCCTGATTCGTAGTCAGACGCTCTGCCATTGAGCCAGCGGACCTTAGTGGTTTTTGTTGAAGAGGAGCTCGGAAACCCCGCTTATGATTGGGCAAGTGGGGGCGGCTATGCGACGGAACCCCTCAACCCCACACAGGATAAGGATGTCGCCAACTTGGTTCTTCATGATGTGTTCACCTCGACGGATCCCCCACAGTCTGATGTGAAGCCACTCCATTTCATCTAGAAGAAACCCAAACGAATGCCCTATCAATCTTGCCTTTGCAAAAACGAACGACAACCCGAACCAAAAACCATTCTCCCATTCAAGCCGACCAACGGCCTGTTCCCATACCACCCCTTAAAAAAAAAAAAAAAAGATCCCTAACCGACAACACTCACACCCCCCAGAGCAACCAACACCCCAACCGCCATAGCCGCAACCTTGGCCCTGAACCCCGCCGGCGCCGAGGGCGCCCCCGACACGAACACGCTCGCAGCCTGGCTGGTCTGCCCCGAGCCAACAACGCCAGCGCCCGTCGGCGCAGCAGCAACCCGTGCGTTGGGCGGTCCCTCACCATCCCCGATACTGCCATTCTTGATCACATAGGCCCCGTTACTGTCGGCCTGCGGAACGAGCGTGGGACCCTTGTAGTAGCAATCCTGGCCAAGGCATCGTGTCTGTCTCTTCGATCAGCTCCATCCCATTTCATCTCACACACAACAACATCACCATCATCGTAAAAAAAAAAAAAAAAAAAAAAAAAAAAAAAAAAAAAGTGGGGGGGGGGGGGGGGGGGGGTAAACACAAAG